GCACCAAGTCCATCCCCACCATCAGGGGCTCTGGTGAAAAGGCAGACTGGGACTTAGACTCCGCGTCCTGGGGAATCCAGTTCTGTGGATCACTAGAGATTCCACCGGGCGGTGCCTGACAGATACTCTCTTGAATAAATGGGATGTTTTCCTCGTGAAACACGTTGAGGCAATAACAAGGTGGATGAAGACCCCCCCTACACACCACACGTGGCATTGTTAGGTCCATGGGGAGCTCTCATTAATAAAGTTGAGATTTTACAGAGCATTATTGTAACTGTTATGTTCTTTTATAGAGTTCTAGTGTTTATTAATAAAATTTGGTAAAGATATTTTAGCTTGTAGTCCCTATACACCAAAATGTCAAAAGTGTCTGTTTTCTCCTCGCCATAATTTACCTTTTTTTTTTTTTTTCGAGGCGGGGGATTTTCCTATTTTCCATGAGCTTGTAGTTCTATAGGACTCTTTTCCATTTCTTATCCAAGCCTTAATGAAGGAGTATCACTTGGCCCTGAAATGCGTTGGTTACCTTTTGTCTTCCTGTGTTCTCAATGTTGTAAATATTCCCGGCCTCCCAAGACAACCGACTGATGCACTTTTTGTCGATCTTACAAATATATTTCACTCAGTCCTAGTTCCCTTTAAATATCAAGCAGCAGACCTGTCATGCAGTGTGTACTGTTTGCTATGGGATTCATTTGTCATACTTTTGCAATCACATTAATTAATCAGGATTCTTATGGGACTTTGTTTTGTCGCAACAAATATTTGTCAAAGAATACTGTATTTCATTTTCCAGGAATTAGATGCTCAACTCCAGATAAGTCCTAATTAATTTACCTCTGTTCTGGAATCTACAGCTATCTGTATGAGCCTAAATTAATTAAAGTCAGTTTTGGTGAAGGAGAAAATATAAATATGTTGGTTCTAAAAACTGCAGTAATTTCATGAATCCAGTGCAGCAAACATAATGATGCAATGTGAAGGCACTCATGTGCAGAACATAATTCTCATACTACCTTTGTATGTATATACAGTCCAAGGCCTAGGAGGATGCAGGACCCCTGACTTCTGTCTGGACAGTGCTGATTGGCCCTGTGCTGATCACATGCACCCTCTCAAGATGAAAAAAAAACCCTCTCTAGCAACACACACCAAATTGTGCACGAGTAGTGGCTCCACACGATATGTCTTATCAGGACATAAGAGGGGGACACTGGAAGAAGAGGAGGATCAGAGGAGTCAGGATCAAACAGTGTTTTTACACAATGCAGAGGATTAACCCCTTAGGTTCCACAGCAAGTATAACAAGCATGTTTTACTGAATATACAGACTGATTTTACTGTTGTGGGTTTAGTAACACTTTAATCATATACATTACTGAATGTTATCAGTCTTTTTTCATAGAATATAAATATTTTAGCATTGGAATAACTACATGACTTCTGGAAGGTTTAACTCCCTTCATGACCAGGGCATTTTTTTTGCTATTCAGCACTGTGCTACTTTACCTGGCAGTTGCATGGTCATGCCATACTATATGCAAATTAATTTAACCCCTTAGATTCCACAGTGAGTATAACAAGCATGCTTTACTGCATATACAGACTGATTTTACTGTTGTGGGTTTAGTAACACTTTAAGGGCAAACTGGAGTTTGGTTTCAATTTGTTAGTGTATCTAAATCTGCTGCTACTAACATTTCCCCCTTCCCCAGACTGACAATGCTGCTGTTCAAATCTGTCCCCTGTGCTTCTTAGTCCAGAGCTGGGGCACACTTTAAGTAAACGTATAGGTTTGATGTTAGCGCGTATGTGAAAACTGTCAAAACTGCCCTGGACTGCAAATTAATATTATTATTATACAGTATTTATAAAGCGCCAATAGTTTGCTCAGCGCTGTACATTACAAAGGGGGACAGAACATGCGACAGAACAATACCAATACAGTGCAAAACATGAGGGGATTGAGGGCCCTGCTCTTTGGAGCTTACAATCTAGGAGGGAGGGGATGGTGGCATAGGAGGAGATAGCTGCGGGGGATGGAGTAGTAGGAAGAGTGGAGGAGGTCGGCAAGATAGCAGGGGGTGGGGTAGGCTTCCCTGAAGAGATGGGTTTTCAGGGTGCGCCTAAAGGAGAGGAGAGTAGGTGATAATCTGATGGGTTGGGGCAGGGAGTTCCAGAGGATGGGTGACACCCTGGAGAAGTCCTGGAGGCAGGCATGGGAGGAGGAGACCAGGGAACTAGAGAGAAGGAGGTCTTGTGAGGAGCAGAGTGTGCGTGCTGGGTGTCCAAATAGTTAACAATTCCAGAGGCATCCTTATGTCGGGCCATTTTCGTCCGAAAATTGGACCTAAGAATAATCAGCTGATTTTTGCTCTGTTAGTGGGTCAATGACAGCGGCCGATTTTCGTTGTTCCTCCCCTTTTCAGTGATCGGGCATGTTGGAAAATTTGTGAAAAATGACCGATTTTTGAGTCAATGATGGCCAAATCGTACGATCGTTTTTTTCCGAAAATAATATGCTCATGAACCGTGACCTGGAAGGAACAGAAGATTTTCGCCTGTTATATGGGGTGAACTTTATGACTTGGTCGGCTGATTTTCTAAATCATTGATGGCACCATCAGATTACCGAGTGAACGACGATTTAAATTTTCGGACGCAAAATCGTTCGGAATTTGACCCATGTATGGCCTGCATTAGTGTCCATGATCCCTAGCCAGCCACACTGGAGCCCCTTGACCCTATCACCTTCCTGTGATGTTTCACACATGGACTTTGCCATAGCCTCTGTGTTGAGCATAAGAGGAGTTTGTGGTGCTGTAATATAGTACATTAGGTTCTGTAAGCCGCTCCGTTGGCTTTTATGCAGCCAATCAAAACTGATCTGGGCAAACGATAGCTTCTGTATAGAGTGATATAATGTACTAACATCACTGCTACTATGTCATGGTTAGGAGTTATATGGCCATACACAGCTCAATAAATGCCAGCAGTGGACAGGTTGGAGTGTCCCCATGCTTCTATAAGAAACGACTGTATTACTGGAACTGTACTTCTATGCATAAGTGACGCTGTATTTCACAATGATGGGAACTTCTCAAAGAAATGAGAAACCATGCAAATGGAAATGTTTGCATATGGTATGTCAGTGGGGGATTCATGAAAAATCGCTTGGCTGAAAACCGACAGGTATATGAAGTTCTGCAGCCTGTAAACTCCATATGATTTCGGTGCAGAGGATGCAGAAACAAAACCAAGGCTTCCAAGGGAAGCGAGTCCAGTGCTCTTCAACCTTCTGTTGTACGTGAAACCCTTAAACCCTTACAGTGCAGTCACCAAAACAGTACAATAATACAAGATCCAATTGTATAGGCTTTTGCAGCTGATGCTTTGGTATTAAAGCGGTATTAAACCCAAAACCAAAAATGTAATATATTGCAGCTCACCAAGCTTTTGACGTGATGGCTGCCTTAGTCTTCTTTTTTATGCTTTTTACCCCTCTGTTTTTACCGATGATGATCTGGCCAGCAACACACGTCTGTATTACAGTGCCCCAACTCTGGATGAAGGAGCACAGGGGGCAGATTTGGACAGCAGCATTGTCAATCTGGGGAAGGGGGAAGTGTTAGAAGGAGTAGCAGATTTAGATACACTAACAAATTGAAACCAAACTCCAGTTTACCCTTAACTGCCTCCCGCCCGCCCTATAGTACAATGACGGGTGCAAGGCGGTTCTCTCGTTCTGGGAGGACGTCATATGACGTCCTCCCATTCTAACTACGCATACGCGGCTCAGGGAGCGCGCAGCGCGGCGATCGGCGGTGCGCTGTGTCCCTCGGACATAGCGGATCACCGATCAACAGAAAGAGCCGAAGATGTCGGCTCGGTCATGTGATCAGCTGTGTCCAATCATAGCTGATCACATGTAAATAGGGAAATGCCCGTTATCGGCATTTCTCTCCTCACGATCAGTGTGCCCTGATGATCTGTGTAGCCCCAGCAGTACCACCTGTCAGTGTCCAGTGCCAGCTGTCAGTGCTCATCAATGCCATCTGTCAGTGTCCATCAGTGCACATCCATGCCACCTGCCAGTGCCCATCAGTGCCACATCAATGCCACATTTCAGTGCCTACCAGTGCACATCAATGCCACATATCAGTTCCCATCTGAGCTGCCTTTCAGTGCCACCTATCAGTGCTGCCAATCAATGCCCGTCAGTGCCACCTATCAGTGCCCGTCAGTGCTGCCTATCAGTGCCAGTCAGTGCCGCCTATCACTGCCATATATGAGTGCTGCCTTTCAGTGCCCATCAGTGATGCCTGTCAATGCCCATCAGTGCCTCCTCATCAGTGCCCATCAGTGCAGCCTATCAGTGCCCATCACTGCAGCCTCATTAGCGCACATCAGCGAAGGAGAAAAATCACTTATTTACAAAATTTTATAACAAAAACTAAGAAAAAACATTTTTTTTTTTTCAAAATTTTCAGTGGTTTTTGGTTTATTTAGGAAAAAATAAAAAACCCAGAGGTGATTAAATACCACCAAAAGAAAGCTCTATCTGTCACAAAAAAATGATAAAAATTTCAAATGGGTACAGTGTTGCATGACCGCGCAATTGTCCTTCAAAGTGCAACAGCGCTGAAAGTTGGAAATTGGCCTGGGCAGGAAGGGGGTATAACTGCCCTGTAGGCTAGTGGTTAAAGTGTTACTAAACCCACAACAGTAAAATCAGTCTGTATATGCAATAAAGCATGCTTGTTATACTGGAATCTAATATACAGGTGAGTGCTGGCGATATCCGGGGAGCAGCTAGCACACAAGGTGAAGGTAAAATCCCCTACAATAGTATATGTAAACAAGTTCAGCGCTAAAAAAAAAATATATATATATATATATATATATATATATACAGGGGCGGACTGACAACTCATGGGGCCCCCGGGCAGTAGAGGATCATGGGGTCCCTGTGTCCAAACTCAAAAAAGCCTATGAAAAAGGTACCAGGGGCATCTCACGGGGTCCCCTACTGACCCCGGGCCCTCGGGCAGTGCCCGAGTTTCCAAATGGTCAGTCCGCCCCTGTGTATATATATAGAGGAATGGTAAAGTGCAACACATAAAAGAGCAGAAAACATTAGTAAATGCGAAATCTTAAAGTCAAACAATATGGTAAAGTGCATCATGAATGTAATGAGTTGAGTGAAATAGTAAAGTGCATCAAGTAAAAGCATGAAAATATCAGCTAAACAGCTCAAAAAACAAAGTGTATCACGGGCAGAATCTAAATACAATAATGTCCGTGGTGATCCATGAAGTAAAGTGCAGTAGTAAATGATGTTACAATAAACCTATAAAATCTGAGATATATAAATAGGATAAACTCTACATCAATGTCCGTGGTTAGACATGCTATTTATATAGTCAAATATCCATAAATGGAAGCAATTGTCCGTGAAACCATAAGGTACATATAATTAAGGTGCAGAGTGCAAATGTGCTGATGATCACACAAAAAGAATCCACCACCTCTCTCGATGTACACTCACCAGATGAAAACAGGTAACAGGCAATTAAACATCTGAGAATGGAAGGCGGCCGAAGGGTTAAACCAGACCAAATTCATCCTGGGTACTCGGATGGGAGGTCAGCCCTTGTCCTAGAGGGAATAGCTCATCACAGGAGCCAATAAAGTTGCATATAGTTTAGTATTTATTGGAATATTAAAAAGTATCCACATGGAGACAGAAATCAAAAAGCATAAAATGTGTACCAAGATGGCCACCGCTCCTACCATTGGCAGCGGCGGCGTGACGTCCGAAAATGGCAGCTCCACCCAAATGGTGAGTGTACATCCGAGAGAGGTGGTGGATTCTTTTGTGTGATCATCAGCACATTTGCACTCTGCACCTTAATTATATGTACCTTATAGTTTCACGGACAATTGCCTCCATTTATGGATATTTGACTATATAAATAGCATGTCTAACCACGGACATTGATGTAGTTTTATCCTCTTTATAGATCTCAGATTTTATAGGTTTATTGTAACATCATTTACTACTGCACTTTACTTCACGGATCACCACGGACATTATTGTATTTAGTTTCTGCCCGTGATACACTTTATTGGCATTTGCTTTTTGAGCTGTTTAGCTGATATTTTCATGCTTTTACTTGATGCACTTTACTGTTTCACTCAGCTCATTACATTTATGATGCACTTTATCATATTGTTTGACTTTTAGATTTCACATTTACTAATGTTTTTTACAGGCGGCACAGTGGCTTAGTAGTTAGCACTTCTGCCTTGCAGTAATTGGGTCATGGGTTCGATTCCCGACCATGGCGCCTCCTGCATGGAGTTTGCATGTTCGCGTGGGTTTCCTCCCACACTCCAAAGACATGCTGGTAGATTAATTGGCTCCTGTCTAAATTATCCTAGTTTCATCCCTGGCCACGCGGGATTTCTGCATGGTAGGGGTTAAGGAAAGACCTGGCAACCTACTCTGTAAAATAATTGCTAAGAGAATTCATAGAAAAAGTCGCTTACGAGTGACGGTCCGTGCAATCACGAAGGGTCGGATACGACTGAATGGATAGATAGAATGTTTTTTTACACTTTTATGTGTTGTACTTTACCATTCTGCAATACATATATATATTTTTTTTTTTTAGTGCTGCACTTTTTTTACATATGCTCGTCATACTCACTGTGGAACCTAAGGGGTTACATTAATTTGTGTATAGTATATTGCATGACCATGCAACTGCCAGTTAAAGTAGAACAGTGCTGAATAGCAAAAAAAAATGCCCTGGTCATGAAGGGGGTAAAACCTTTCAGAGGTTATGTAGTAAAATCCAACGCTAAAATATTTGTATTGTATGGAAAAAGACTAATAACAGTCAGTAATGTATATGATTAATTAAAGTGTTACTAAACCCAGAACAGTAAAATCAGTCTGTATATGGCAGTAAAACAAACAAAAGATTTCCCAGTAACACTTACCAGCCAGCCTGCAAAACAACCAATTTGGCCTTGTCTAACAGTATGCGTTAAAAATAGAGGGTTTTGTTTGCACACATTTGCAAATACATGCGTAAGGCACAGTCCCGGGTCAAGGGTCCTCTATATACTGTGGGCTAACTAAAATTTTCGAAGCCTCCATAGTGGGAGCACATGTATCAATGGATGGGTTAAGGGCAGGTGTGCCTGGAGGAGCCCATCTCTCCTTAAAGCAGTGTTTCTCAACTCCAGTCCTCATGGACCCCCAATAGGTCATGTTTTCAGGATTTCCCTCAGATGGCTGTGGTAATTACTAAGACAGTGAAACTGATCAAATCACCTGTGTAAAATAATGGAAAGAAAACATGACCTGTTGGGGGTCCATGAGGACTGGAGTTGAGAAACACTGCCTTAAAGGTACAGGGGTGCACGGGACTCCCAGCTATACCAAAATGACAGCTAAGACATCCAGTGCGTCCCTGTGTCCAATTTAGCCAACTACAAAAAAAAAAGGCAACCGTCCCAACCTATAACCAGCCTTAGCAGTAAGGTGCACATGGAAGAGCAATGCACATCGCAAAACAAACAAAAGATTTCCCAGCAACACTTACCAACCAGCTTGCGAAACAACCAATTTGGCCCTGTCTAACGGTATGCGTTAAAAACAGAGGGTTTTGTATATGGCAGTAAAACATGCTTGTTATACTCACTGTTGAACCTAAGGGGTTAATCCTCCACATTGTGTAAAAAGGCTGTTTGATCCTGTCTTCTCTGATCCTCCCCTTCTTCCACAGTCCCCAAGCCATGTGCTGATAGAACAGAGCCTTGGAGGCAAGCTGCACATGCTCAGTTTGGTGTGTATTGCTAGAAAGTTGCAGCTCTGATAAAAACTCTTGATTAAAGGTGCATTAGTCAATAATGAACATAAAAACAGTCTGTATCAATGATATTGTGATGCATTCAGTGACTGATTAAACCTGCTAACAGGTTCCACAACGTGATGATAAAATTTCCAATACAGGTGAACTAGCAGTGATATCTGTGCTCATAGGTGGGTATATAATATGGACTAACCAGATAGCGCACACAATAGTGCGTTTGAGTTATCAGACCACTCCTGGTACTCTGGAACTGGAAATGAAGAGGTCTAGAGGTCATCTGGCAAACCAGCAGCCCAGCAGGTGCTCAGCCTGACATCTATAGCAGCTGTAATGCTTCATCCATCCAGCAGGGGGATTATCATCCATGTGTAATGAATTCACAGATATCCAGTAGGAACCAGCCAAATAGTGCAAAGAGCATCAGACTAGGAATCCACCTTGAAGGGTTGGGCTCGCGAAGCAGCGAGCCCAAACAAAGCTATCATAGTGTAGTATTTCCAAAAATTCTTTATTGTGTATAACAGCAGTACACTCACATGCAAGGGATAGATCAGACCCAAGTATGGCCACCAGCCTCCAGACGGCTCGGACGGCGTGATGTCACCGGCTAGGCTCCACCCTGCATTTTTTTATATTCTGCTATTTAGAAGGTTTTGAGGCTGTACCTTTATGCAAGCTGATTATTAATTTATCCAAGCGCTCGTGATTTTCTCTGTTTGCTCTATTGCTAGAAAGTTCCAGACAGGGGGGGGTTTTTTCTGGGAGAGTGCATGTGATCAGCACAGGGCTAATCAACGCTGTCCAGACAGAGGGATTTGTGAAAAGAGATTCAGGCGTACATCTGCAGCCTCATTGGACATCAGTGTCCAGGGAGAACGAAAACTCCTCCTATACGCTTTAACCAGTGCTTGGGCTGGACACTGAATAGAAGTCACAAGATTGCTATATACTGCTGATGAGAAAAGGTATTTAACAGATTATATTGACTAAAATAATTGCATTTCCATGTTCTGTGTACTGTGGGAGACCAGATATAGGGAATGCAGGGTCCTGGGTTTAGTAACACTTTAATAAGCAATTACAGCAATTTTTTTCTTTTTGGGATAAAGGTTTTACATTAAAAACCGCTGAACTTTGTAAGTCAGTGATAAATGGTTTGTTTCATCCCTGTAACTGCAGGAGAGCTTGTTCTTTTAAAAAACAAACAACTTACTGGCCAGGTGAAAATAGAAGAAAGCTGAAAAAAAAAAACTAATTCACATCTAGGAATTGGTGAACTGCAAAATAATAAATGTTTGCTTGTGGGATTAATGCTGCTTTTTTTTTTAACAATTAAAATGTTTTATTGTTGATGCAGTATCACTGTGCGCAACAATCATCAGTGTAGTAACTCTTTGGTAAAGTCAGCAGCTAAAGCTTTCAATCTGATTTGTAAGGAAAAAATTTATTGAACTATATGTGTTCTAACCTCAGCTTCAATGTAAAGTTTCCAGAATCTGCAAGAACTGGGCCACAAGGCGCTCAGTCTTCTGGGTTGTGTCTATAGGCCATTCTAGAATTTGAACAAACAGCTTGTACAGAATTAGATATAAAAAGACCAAGAAAATATTATGGCAACATTGGGACAGAGAGAATGTAATGTAATCTTATGTCACTAAACCTGTGCTTCTGGATTGAAAATCCATGCGTTGAGGTAATGTGGGTTATCGTCAACTTCTACTCTGCCTTCTTAGCCTTTTCTGGAACATATTCGATCCAGGGGTGGACTGACCATTTGGAAACTCGGGCACTGCCCGAGGGCCCGGGGTCAGTAGGGGGCCCCATGAGATGCCCCTGGTACCTTTTTCATAGGCTTTTTTGAGTTTGGGCAAGGACACAGGGGCCCCATGATCCCCTATTGCCCGGGGGCCCATGAGTTGTCAGTCCCCCTGATTCGATCATTAGAGGTGGTGGCTTAATTAGTTTCCTTTTTCAGGCTCTTACATCTCTGTTTTCACCTGGTGATCTGGCCAGTAACACACCTCCTGTATTAGAGTGCCCCCACTCTGGATAGATGAGCACAGGGGGCACCTTTCGACAGTGACATGGACAGTCTGCTCAGCTGTGCTCACCCCAGTGGCCATCATCCCTGCGCCGGTGGGAATAATGCTGCTTTAAAGCCAGCACCCTCACCCCCCCCCCAATCCCCCTAGGCAATTTTGCAAGCTATTTTGTTATACCCACATTTTCTATAGGTGCTCAGGTCATGTGATGCTGCAGGGTCCTTTTCATCTTTGCCACATCTCTGGGCTGCATGGTTGTCAGTGATGCAAATAGCAGGACAGAAGTGCCGCTCTCTGTACCATTGCACAGGGTACCACAGTGAGTCCCCCCTACCTGCTCAGTGGTGTCATTCAACACAGGAAACTAAGATCATTTTGCAGCAAAAAAGAGTCGAAGATAGGTATTTACTTCTGGGTTGCTTTTTGTTTTAAATTTATAAAAAAAAAAAAAGTTGACTTTATACTTCAAAAATCATCCATACACATCCAATACTTAAAGTAGAACTATAGGCAAAACGTTTTTTTTTTTCATTTTGGCTAGAGTACAGCTTTCGGCTTTCTTTCTTCTATTTTTTTTGCCATTCATGTCCTATAGGCAAATCAGAAAGTGAGTGTCAGGGCTCCAGGTATGACCAGAGATGTGTGGACTGACACAGGGAAATGCAGGCTTCAAGTATGGTGTAAAACAATATAATTTATTAAAAGCTACACAGTACACCCAAACACACAGTGCAAGAACCAAACCTCCAACAGATCCCAGTATGTGCAGGAACACAAACGTAGTCAGGCAGGCCGGGTCGGTAACTATCAGGCAAACAAGGTACAAAGGAGCAGGCAGGAGAGTGGTCAGGAATAGCCGGGGTCAGTGCAGGCAGAGTTCTAGCAGAGTCCAGATCAGGCAGGAATATCAGACAGGATGCAGGTACAGGGGCTCATGGGAACAAACACCAAGGCACTAACTACAGGCCTGGCCATTGCTTAAATACACCTCCTGCAATCAGCCTCAGGTGACTAACTAGACATCCCACTGCCGGAATCAAGTGACTGGCTGGGTCTCCTGCTGATAGGCCTATCTTTTTGCAGGAGACCGCAGGAAGGCAGGTGGCTGGACACAGGATTTCCAGAAGCAGGCTGGGCATCAGGAGCTGGCACGTCAGGCTGGGCAGCGGACAGAGGCACGTCAGGCTGGGCAGCGGACAGAGGCACGTCAGGCTGGGCAGCGGACAGAGGCACGTCAGGCTGGTCAGCGGACAGAGGCACGTCAGGCTGGTCAGCGGACAGAGGCACATCAGGCTGGGCAGCGGATCAGGTTGGGCAGAGGCACACCGGGTCATCAGGTTGGGCAGCAGGCACCGGGTCATCAGGCTGGGCAGCAGACACCGGGTCATCAGGTTGGGCAGCAGGCATCAGGTTGGGCCAGGACCGGACCACGGGCAACGGGGCGCCAGGCTGGAACAAAGGAACCGGGGCACTAGGCTGGATCGGGTCATCTGGCTGGATCGGGTCATCTGGCTGGATCGGGTCATCAGACGATAGGCTGACCGATTTGGATACTGGCAGGATGGTACTGGTGGGAAAGAATTTTCACTTCTTCTTGGGTTTAGTTACTGAAGCACTGCAAGTAAATGCAGGTCTGTAAACGGAGGGAGCAGCTGGAGGATGGAACAGAGGAGGGAGCAGTTGCTACAGAGGGCTTTTTTACAGGGGTAAAGGCAGGATTGGTGCAGCGAGTGGGAGCAGGGTACTGATATGTGGTTGATAGCAGGGTATACTGGGCTGGAACTGGAGGTGCTGTCGGGAATGCAGGAATAGCATATTGAAAAAATGGATTAGGAGCAGGATTGGGTTTTTGCAAGCTGACTGAGGCTGGGTGTAACAAATCTGACCATGTTTGTAATACCGGTTGAACAAAGCTCAGCTTACACGTAGCCTGTCTGACCAAAGACTGCACTGCGTTTATACAATCCACAAGCACATGTGATGGACAAGCTGAATAATACTCAAGGAAGCAATCTAGATCATCCTCCAACAACCATACCACTGACTCTACTTGATCCGCATTAAATGGTGGAAAAAAGTCATCCCTGCTTTCAGGAGTACTAGATAAAGCCAACTCAGCACAAGCCTGGATCAATCGCTGCACCTCAGAAAACTGTGTGACCTGATCTACTAGGGAATGAGCAACTTGTATGCGCTCTAGCAGCTGATCCCTGGCGTACTTCTTCAGAAGCTGACAGCAATACTCTCTGTCTTCTATTACTAGCAGAGACAAATACACCACTTCCTCCAGATGCATCCTTCCCCAACAACAAGCCAAGATGGCTTCCCTGTGCAGCCACTTCTGGTCAGGATTGGCCTTGGTGTTCTGTCAGGGCTCCAGGTATGACCAGAGATGTGTGGGCTGACACAGGGAAACGCAGGCTTCAAGTATGGTGTAAAACAATATAATTTATTAAAAGCTACACAGTACACCCAAACACACAGTGCAAGAACCAAACCTCCAACAGATCCCAGTATGTGCAGGACGTAGTCAGGCAGGCCGGGTCGGTAACTATCAGGCAAACAAGGTACAAAGGAGCAGGCAGGAGAGTGGTCAGGAATAGCCGGGTTCAGTGCAGGCAGATTTCTAGCAGAGACCAGATCAGGCAGGAATATCAGGCAGGTACAGGGGCTCATGGGAACAAACACCAAGGCACTGACTGAAGGCCTGTCCATTGCTTAAATACACCTCCTGCAATCAGCCTCAGGTGATGGCCTGATTGCAGGAGAGAGATTCTGGCTGCTGAGAGCACCCACTGGCCCATTCCTGACAGTGAGCAGAAATCCCTACAAATTAGGAGAATCCATTGGGGCCCCAAGGTCACCAGAACTCGTGTCCCCATTGGAAGAATTCCCCTCTATCACTGTTCTGGGTACAGCACAAAATTTGGGATTTTCTTTCATTTTTAATG